CGTCCTCACATTGCATTTTGCTTTGCATCCCCTGAGCCGATTTAGTTGCTTCCATTGCAGTATTCCTTCCTTCAATCTCTTCTCTTTGTGATGTCCCTGTGCTCAGTGGTCCGTCATTTTCCCTTCTCAGTTTTTCCTGAGCACTTCTGTGGTCTCTTAGTACCTCTGCATATAGATTAGCTCCTTCATTTTCTGCAGTCCCTTTGTTTGATCCTGGTGCATTCCTCATCTATTCCTGGGTTCCACAGTGGTCTGATAGGGTCCCTACTGTCCTCTCGTTTGTGACTGATGTAGCAGTTCATGATGTCATGTCTATATTGTTCATTAGATCTCTGGACTGTGACAGAATTTTTAGTTTCTCTTCTAAGCTCTGTGTCTTAGCATCTGCTGCTGTGGCTTGTACCTCCCATTTCCTACTTTCTGCAGCTATCCTCTCCTCCATTTTCTTCCTAAGCTCTTCTAGCTTCCTTCTCCACTCTTGCCTTTTCTTGAGGTTTGCCACCCAGTCTTCCCTCCCAGGCTCATCCACCAGTCCCCTGGTTCTCCGTCCTGCTCTTTGACAACTCATTTTATTTATCTGTTTTCTTTTTTATCACAGAAAGAAAAGCTTATGTAGTTTTGTGTGGTCGTTTGTGATGTGTGTTTGTGTGTGTGTGCGTGTGTGTGTGTGTGTGTGTGTGTGTGTGTGTGTGTGTGTGTGTGTGTGTGTGTGTGTGTGTGTGTGCGTGTGTGTATTTGTGTGTGCGTGTGTGTGCGTTTTGTGTGTTGTGTGTGTGCGTGTGTGTGTGTGTGTGTGTGTGTGTGTGTGTGGTGTGTGTGTGTGTGTGTGTGTGCGTGTGTGTGCGTGTGTGTGTGTGTGTGTGCGTGTGTGTGCGTTTGTGTGTGTGTGTGTGTGCGTGTGTGTGTGTGTGTGTGTGTGTGTGTGTGTGTGTGTGTGTGTGTGTGTGTGTTGTGTGTGTGTGTGTGTGTGTGTGTGTGGTGTGTGTGTGCGTGTGTGTATTTGTGTGTGTGTCTGTGTGTGTGTGCACTCACCTATTTGTACTCACCTAGTTGAAGCTGCAGGGGTCGAGTCCCAGCTCCTGCCGTCGCCTCCTCACTGGTCGCTACTAGGTCACTCTCCGTGAACTGTGAGCTTTATCATACCTCTGCTTAAAGTTATGTATGGATCCTGCCTCCACTACATCGCTTCCCAAATTATTCCACTTCCTGACTACTCTGTGGCTGAAGAAATACTTCCTAACATCCCTGTGATTCATCTGTGTCTTCAACTTTCAACTGTGTCCCCTTGCTGCTGAGTCCCATCTCTGAAACATCCTGTCTTTGTCCACCTTGTCAATTCCTCTCAGTATTTTGTATGTCGTTATCATGTCCCCCCTATCTCTCCTGCCCTCCAGTGTCGTCAGGTCGATTTCCCTTAACCTCTCCTTGTAGGGCATACCCCGTAGCTCTGGGACTAGTCTTGTTGCAAACCTTTGCACTTTCTCTAGTTTCTTTACGTGCTTGTTTAGGTGTGGGTTCCAAACAGGTGCTGCATACTCCAACATTGGCCTAACGTACATGGTGTACAAGGTCCTGAACGATTCCTTATTAAGATGTCGGAATGCTGTTGTGAGGTTTGCTAGGCGCCCATATGCTGCAGCAGTTATTTGGTTGATATGTGCCTCAGGAGATATGCCTGGTGTTATACTTACCCCAAGATCTTTTTCCTTGAGTGAGGTTTGTAGTCTCTGGCCCCCTAGACTGTGCTCCGTCTGAGGACTTCTTTGCCCTTCCCCAATCTTCATGACTTTGCACTTGGTGGGGTTGAACTCCAGGAGCCAATTGCTGGACCAGGTCTGCAACCTGTCCAGATCCCTTTGTAATTCTGCCTGGTCATCGACCGAATGAATTCTTCTCATCAACTTCACGTCATCTGCAAACAGGGACACTTCGGAGTCTATTCCTTCCGTCATGTCGTTCACAAATACCAGAAACAGCACTGCTCCTAGGAATGACCCCTGTGGGACCCCGCTGGTCACAGGCGCCCACTCTGACACGTTACCAAGAACCATGATTCGCTGCTGTCTTCCTGACAAGTATTCCCTGATCCATTGTAGTGCCTTCCCTGTTATCCCTGCCTGGTCCTCCAGTTTTTGCACCAATCTCTTGTGTGAAACTGTGTCAAACGCCTTCTTGCAGTTCAAGAAAATGCAATCTACCCACCCCTCTCTCTCTTGTCTTACTGCTGTCACCCTGTCATAGAACTCCAGTAGGTTTGTAACACAGGATTTACCGTCCCTGAAACCATGTTGGCTGCTGTTGATGAGATCGTTCCTTTCTAGGTGTTCCACCACTCTTCTGCTGATAATCTTCTCCATGATTTTGCATACTATACATGTCAGTGACACTGGTCTGTAGTTTAATGCTTCATGTCTGTCACCATTTTTAAAAATTGGGACTACATTTGCTGTCTTTCATGCCTCAGGCAATCTGTTTCGATAGATATGTTGAATATTGTTGTTAAGGGTACTTTCTCAGGACCCATGGAGAGATGTTATCTGGCCCCATTGCCTTTGAGGTATCTAGCTCACTCAGAAGCCTCTTCACTTCTTCCTCGGTTGTGTGTAGTGTGTCCAGCACTTGCTGGTGTACCCCACTTCTTCGTCTTTCTGGAGCCCCTTCTGTCTCCTCTGTGAACACTTCTTTGAATCTCATGTTGAGTTCCTCACATACTTCACGGTTGTTTCTTGTTGTGTCTCCTCCTTCCTTCCTCAGCCTGATTACCTGGTCCTTGACTGTTGTTTTCCTCCTGATGTGGCTGTATAACAGCTTCGGGTCAGATTAGGCTTTCGCTATTATGTCATTTTCATATTATGTGTGGTGTGTGTGTGTGTGTGTGTGTGTGTGGTTGTGTGTGTGTGTGTGTGTGTGTGTGGGTGGTGTGGTGTATGTGAGTTTGTGTGGACTGATGGAGGGAGTGGGGAAAGGTAGGTAGGGAGAAAGAGAGAGGGAGGAGTCGGTGCGATGGGTGAAAGAGATGTGGAGGGGAAAGAGGAATGAATAAGGGGAAGAAAGGGGAAGGACAGTCAAAAAAGGGAGGGAGAGAGAGAAAGGAAGAGGGAGAGGGGGAAAAGCAGAGGGAGAAAAAGGGGAGGGAAAGAGGGAGAAGACGAGGTGGAGGAGGAAGAGGAAGATATAAAGAGAGGGAGCAGGGAGGGAAAGATGGGGGGAGTGGGAGGAGTGTGTGTGTGTGTGAGGGAATGTGTGGGTGTGGACCTGTGAGTGTGTGTGTGAGCGAATGTGTGGGTGTGGACGTGTGAATGTGTTGTCGGGAATATGTCTGTGGAACTATATGAGTGTGGGTTTACATGACTCACGAAATCGTAATGACACGATTGCAAACAAACCGTACTACGGGCGGGGTTTGAACCCGCGGTCAGAAAATCTCAAAACTCCAGACCGTCGCGTTAGCCACTGGACCAGCTGGCTTCAATAAGATTCATCCAACTAGTGATATATATACTACTCCACGTGTAGTATATATATCTCTATGACCACAAACGAGTGGTATTTAATCAATAACAACACTTCGACTAGTCGAGAATTCGAACCCATGACGTCTTGCAGGATTGCATGGTCCTGTGGGTTAAAGCATCATGTGATTTCGCTCACCATGAGGCAGGTCAAAACGACGTGGGCTCGAATCCTCGGCTACTTGCAGTGTTGTTATTGATTAAATATCACTTGTTACTGGTTACAATAATGTGTGTGCATATATATATACATATATATATATATATATATATATATATATATATATATATATATATATATATATATATATATATATATATATATATATATATATATATATGTCGTGCCGAATAGGCAAAACTTGCGATCTTGGCTTAAATAGTAACGCTCGTCTCACCATATAGGACAAGCGAAAATTTGTGTATGCAATAATTTCGCCAAAATCATTCTGAACCTAACGATAAAAATATATTTCACTATGTTTGTTTAATATTAAATTATTGTAAACAAATCTAAAATATATTTAGTTGGGTTAGGCTAAAAAAAATTGCTCTTGTTATAATAAGGTTAGGTAAGTTTTCTAAGATTCTTTTGGATCAAAATTAAATTTTTTTACATTAACAGTAATGAAAATATATATCTTTAAACGTATAAGAGAAAATTTTAGAAAGGATTTAATTTTAAATGAGTTCTTGCTAATTGACCAATTTTACATATTCGGCACGACATATATATATATATACATACACAGTGGTACCTTGATTTATGAGTGCCCCAACTTATGAGTTTTCCTAGTTACGAGCCGTCGCTCGGTCGATTTTTTGCTTTGAGTTGTGAGCCAATATCTGAGTTATGATTTAGCTTCAGATATGCCGCCACTAGTTGGCAGCGTATCTGAAGTCAAATCCAATTCTGTACCGAGAGGCATGTCAGGTACTTCGTCTCATCCCACATGCTCTTCGAAGACATAACTGGAAGGATAATACTCCCACACTAATCCCAGGTTGTAGTGAGGCACCTCGTCCCTTTTTTGATTCTCCTATAAATATGGGGAAGAGGTAACATCCATGTCAACACTGAGTTCTTTCAGAAACATTAACATGGATGGAGTACTGATAGTGGTGGGTGGAGTAGTCATAGTGGTCGGTGGAGTAGTGATTGTGGTGGGTGGAGTAGTGAAAGTGGTGGGTGGAGTAGTGATGGTGGTGGGTGGAGACGAGATGGTGGTGGAGTAGTGATAATGGTGGGTGGAATAGATATGGTGATGAGTGGAGTAATGAGGGTGGTGGGTGTAGTAGAGATGGTGGTGGGTGGAGTAGTGAAGGTGGTGGGTTGAGCAGAGATGGTGGTGGATGGAGTAGTAATTAAGTCTGCATTTTAGGGTAACATTCTGAGTATGAATCTAGTAAAACGAAAATACTACCCCCCCTCCCCCCCCCAAAAAAATACTTTTCCATTCTTCGATTCCATTTTTTTTTTTTTTGCAGCTCTCACTCCCGTTGTGAATAACGAGGAGATGGATTCTCTGGTTGAACAGTCCTACTACACTGCCAATAGCTCTGTCCCAGCCTTCTTCGTCGGCCTATATTTCCACGACCTGACTGAACCAGTGAAAGCACCTACCAACCTTAAATACGACCTTCGGGTAACGGGCTCTTGGATGACATCATATCGCTATCCTTTCCTCCAGTCGGCCGGGCCAGCTAATTCTTCGAATAGTAAGTGATGAAAATATACTGTGTGTGGGACTACGTGAACAGCGGTGAAGTCACTAGTATTTATGAAACGATACTTCTGTATACACTTACTTGTTAAGTTATAGGTCCTCACCCCTCCTCTTCACTGGTGGCTACCTGCTCCAAAATCTTTGTCGTACCTCATCTTAAAGCTGTATATAGATCCTGCCTCCACTACATCACTCTGCAGATTGCTCCACTTCCTCAAGACTCTATAACTGAAGAAATACTTCCTAACAAGAACTTCCACTTGTAACCCAAATTGTTACAAATGGAAGATGAAGACTCATCTGAGTCTTCAACTTCCATTTGTGACCATTTATTACCATGTCCTATCTCTGAAACATTCTGTCACTATCCATATGTGTGTGTGTATGTGTGTTGTGTGTGTGTGTGTGTGTGTGTTTTGTGTGTGTGTGTGTTGTGTGGGGGTTGTGTGTGTGTGGGGTGTGTGTGCGTGTTGTTGTGTGTGTGTGTGTGTGGTGCGTGTGTGTGTGTGCGTTGTGTGGTGTGTGTGTGTGTGTGTGTGTGTGTGTGTGTGTGTGCGTGTGTGTGTGTGCGTTGTGTGTGTGAAGGTAAAGATGCAAATTATTTAATTTTTATTTTTTATTTTTAACTCATCGGCCGGTTCCCACCAAGGCAAAAGAAAAAGAACTTTCACCATCATTCAGTCCATCACTGTCTTGCCAGAAGGGTGCTTTACACTACAGTTTTTAAACTGCAACATTAAACACCCCTCCTTCAGAGTGCGGGGACTGTACTTCCCATCTCCAGGACTCAAGTCCGGCCTGCCGGTTTCCCTGAATCCCTTCATAAATGTTACTTTGCTCACACTCCAACAGCACGTCAAGTATTAAAAACCATTTGTCTCCATTCACTCCTATCAAACACGCTCACGCATGTTTGATGGAAGTCCAAGCCCCTCACACACAAAACCTCCTTCACCCTCTCCCTCCAACCTAGAATTTTCTAGGCAGACCCTTACCCCGCCTTCCCTCCACTAAATATTTATGCACTCTCGAAGTCATTCTATTTCCTTCCACCCTTTCTACATGTTCGAACCGCCTCAACAACCCTTCTTCACCCCTCTGGATAATAGTTTTAGTAATCCCACACCTCCTTCTAATTTCCAAACCACGAATTCTCTGCATTATATTCACACCACACATTGCCCTCAGACATGACATCTCCACTGCCTCCAGCCTTCTCCTCGCTGCAACATTCATCACCCATGCTTCACACCCATATAAGAGCGTTGGTAAAACTATACTCTCATACATTCCCCCTTTTGCTTCCAAAGACAAAGTTCTTTGTCTCCACAGACTCCTAAGTGCACCACTCACCCTTTTCCCCTCATCAATTCTGTGATTCACCTCATCCTTCATAGACCCATCTGCTGACACGTCCCCTCCTAAATATCTGAATGCATTCACCTCCTCCATAATCTCTCCCTCCAATCTGATATCCAGTCATTGGTCACCTAATCTTTTTGTTATCCTCATCAACTTACTTTTTCTTATATTCACTTTTAATTTCGTTCCTTTACGTACCCTACCAAATTCATCCACCAACCTCTGCAACTTCAGAATCTCCCTAACGCACAGTGTCATCACCAAAGAGCAGCTGTGACAACTCACACTTTGTGTTAGATTCTTTATCTTATAACCCAACACCTCTTGCCAAGGCCTTCGCATCCACTTCTCTTACAACCCCATCTATAAATGTATTGAACAACCACGGTGACGTAACACATCCTTGTCTAAGGCCTACTTTTACTGGGAAATAATCTCCCTCTCTCCTACATACTCTAGCTTAAGCCTCACTATCCTCGTAAAAACTCTTCACTGCTTTCAGTAACCTACCTCCTATACCATACACCTGCAGCATCTGTCACATTGCCCCCCTATCCACCCTGTCATACGCCACGAAACCCTCTTTAGCCTTTTCTAAATACTGTTCACCTATATGTTTAACTGAAATTTTTAAGTATGTACATAAAGTATAATATTGGCAGTGATATGTATTTTCTTACTGCGAACATTTTCTGGGTTAAAGTATGTAATATAGATACAGACAGGTAGAATTTTTGAGTAAAGTAGTGAAAATTAGATTTCAGTAAGTACAAACATGCATTTAAATCTCGTATTTGTATGAACAAATTTAATTGCTTCTGGAAGGAACTAAGATTTGTCAAAGAACGAGTTCAATTTCATCACGATAATTTAAGGCCAAGACAATTGAAACATGAAAAAAAAATAATATTGCGTATTCTGAAATACTGACCATACGTGGGTAATTCACTAGTAGTGTAAGCTGAATGTTTAACCTGCTAATTGTGGTCCGATCTCCGACCAATCAGGTCGACTTGTGCATCAGGGACATTTAACTTGTTTCTGGTATTGTGTAAAGATACTCGCCGAACGTGTCACTGATGGAAAACTTGCAGGTTATCTATGCATGTGAATGCAATTATCATTTGCTTACAATCTGTTATGTTACCTATTCTCTTAAATATTCATTCCAGACTTAATTACTGACTACTGTACTTCTCTCCGGCAGAGTACATCAACCACGGGTTTACCCTCATACAGAGCATAGTGGATCGCTTTTATATTTCCGAGGTCACCGGCAATGACGCTTATCTCAATTACAAGGTAAAAAGCTAATGTTAACTTCCATCACTTATGTTCAGTTTGTGGGCAGTCTTGCTCGTTCGAGAGTAACAAACCACAAAATGAATAAACTTGTTTGTTTCCTCTTTCTTTCAAATGAGAAGCCAATTTGGGATTTTAGTCACCCACGGCGCTCACTCCACAGAACAGAGTTAGATTGCATGCAACAGTATAAGTATTTTGTTGCAAGCAGTAGTGCTAATTTGGAACTCTTACTTGTATCAAGTTACCTCAATGATTTCTTTCACTAAATTGACCATATGTTTACATATTAAAACCTACACAAAATTCGTTCGTAGATTTTATTTTATATTTTATAAAGATCTTCTTAAATTATAATTTTTAACTAACAAGTAGTTATGATTATTTAAATTTAATTTATTAAAATTGAATTCTGTTTTATTCTGAATACTGTTGAGATTTTCTGGTTTGGGACTTGTTTTACGTCTTAACGAAAATCTGTAAAAGTACGTTTTTGTTTTATATCTACGTCATCCTAGATATCTACAATAGCCATAATAAACACAGATCTTTAGCTACTTTCTGGTTGGTTCTTCCCAGGCAGAGAAAGAGACACTTGTACCTTCCTCTGCAAAAAGTTTTCTTCAACAATAAATCCTCCTTCGTCTTTCTGCAAATCCGACATTTTGTCTTTAGATGGAGTCTTGTATAACATTAAACTCCAGTCTAGGTAGAACAGCTTTGGTGTCGATAACTTAATAAAACCACTTATTTCATTTAGTAATTGACTTATCTGTCCATACTCTGTCTCTGCAAGCACAATTCTGTTTTATTGAATTAAATTTGTTTTGCTTTGGGTTTTATATCTTTGAAAAGCATAATTGGTTTAATTTTAAAGCTTAATTCCTTCCTATTTAAATTTGTATAATTTTAGCTATTTCAAACTGTAGCTTCTGACTTCAAAATTCAAAACTAGAAATAAGGGAGTAAATACTACCAGGCAAGTTTTAGTTCTGCCCAATGGAAAGAAACAACCAATTTATATGTCAGTTTGTGCAATACTCATTTTTTTTTAGATTCAGAACGACCTACGAGAGGACGAACAAGATTGTTATCTTTTTCAAGGAATTGTGGATTGTCAACACCTGGCTTTAACAATGCCTAGGCTGCTCGTCTGCTGGCTTGTACATAATTTATTCGTAGACGAATAAGACACATGTGCAATAGTTTGGAATTATTATATTACTATTTAAAATTCGCCTACACAATAACTTCTTCAGTGAGACACACAGGAGACTAAATAAGCGGGCAGCTTAGATTTAAATGATATAGCAGTGAAATTTTTAGGTGTTCCCGGTTATGGTCAACAAATTTTTCTCCACCATAATTAAAAAATATCTCAGCTTTCACGAAGAACTTCATACAGCTATAATCTGGCCTCTTATAATCTTGTCTATTAGCAATGATATCTTTCGTCTTCCTTGGATGGCGGTGTAGGTGGAGGTTGAGAAATACCCGTATCCGGAATATTACGACGACTTCGGCGCGAGTCAACTCTATGGAACTTTCCTGCCCAACTACGTGGTGCTGTCATTTGTGTTGTTGTCGCCGGCCCTCATCAAGAGCGTCGTTCATGAGAAGGAGACAGGTGTAAGGGTGAGTTCTAGTTCTCTTTTATATTACTTATGTAACATGATTTCATAATGTCACAAGGCTAGTTAATAGTGATTAAATAAGTTTTAGGCTAACTATCACGTGTCCATATTATTCTGTAATTTTCTTTCTGTAAAGTTGAGGCAGTTCCCCATAACACACTTGAGGGGACTGTGGAGACAAGAAGTTTGTGGATGGCTGGCACCTGGCTCTCTCTCTCTCTCTCTCTCTCTCTCTCTCTCTCCTGCATGATGGGCTAGGTAGACAGATCCAGAGATAAAATATTACATTTGTTGGAAGAATTAATAAACGATGACTTGCTTTCCTTGCATCACATAGCTTCGTTGCATATCCTAACTGAGGCAGTGAGTAGTGTTACTACTTCTGAACTGACACGACAAGTTATATACGAGATGCTATCAAAAAGATTCTGGACTTCAGCAAAAAAATATATGTCGTGCTGAGAAGATACAACTGGTCAATTAGCAAAAACTCATTTAAAATTAAGTCCTTTTTAAAATTATCTCTTAAAAGTTTAAAGATATATATATTTTTGTACCAAAAGAATCTTAGACAACTTACCTAACCTTATTATAACAAGCGAAATTTAATTTAGCCTAAGCCAACTAAATATATTTTAGATATGTTTCCAGTAATTTAATAATATACAAATACATGTAGAATGAAATATAATTCTTTCGTTAGGCTCAGAATGATTTTTGCGAAATTATTGCATACAAATATTCGCTTGCCTTATTCGGCAAGAAGAGTGCATATATATATGTGTATATATATATATAATAAATATATATATATATATATATATATATATATATATATATATATATATATATATATATAAATATATTATATATATATATATATATATACTATATATATATCACCCTTCAAGCATGGACAGATGGGAAGCAGGTGGTATGGGACAATACATGTGCATCTACCTTGGCTAATATCTATCTCCAATACACTAGGGAGAAAGGAGGGGCAGCTGCCAGCTTCAGGGAGTCCCAAAAGTCTAGAAAATATGGAGAACTTGCCCATCATTATATGTTTGTTCCCATAGGATCAGAGATCCTTGGCTCATGGGGAAAGAGTGCATCTAAGTTCCTAAGGAGCTGGGGAAAAGACTCATCAGGGTAACTAGGGATCCCAGGGCAGCTAGTTTTCTGTTCCAGCGGCTCAGTGCGGCTGTTCAACGGGGTAATGCCTGCTGCATTTTGGGCACACGCCCCAGCTCTGAGGAGCTGGATGAGAGTTTCGCCCTGTAATCGGTGACACACACGTAACAACATGTACCGTATATGCCACCTTTATATCAACAATGTATCTCTTATATATATATAATATATATATTATATATATATAATATATATATATATATATATATAATATAATATATATATATATATTATATATATATAGGTACCACCTCTAGAAGTGGACTGGGGACCCTCATCTTCAGAGAAGACAATAAACGTGCCTCAGGGAAAACTCAAGGTTCTCCCTGGAGCTGTTTGAATATTTTCTTCTCCTACCGCCCACTATATTTTTAAGCTACATGCGAACTTTATTAATAGACAGAATATGTTGATAGAAAACACAAACATAAATACATTGGTACAAAATATCAAAGGGTATGAATCTCCTCCATCTCCTCCGAAGCTGGACGGTGCCCAGTATGCAGCATGCATTTCCTCTCTGGATGGCCACGCTGAGGCTCTGGAACATGATAGTGGCTGCCCTTGGGTCCATGGTGGTGTCGATGAGTCTGGAACCCAGTTCTTTAAGGAAATGCGTGGCATGTTTTCCCCATGATCCCAAGGTCTCTGATCCCACTGGGACAAATTGATATTGTTGGCTTATGTCCTTATACTTGCTGATCTTGTACTTCTCGCTGTGGCCTATCACTGTGATGGATATAAGTGTCTGCCAGTGTGGACATACAGGTCTAGTCCCATGCTAAGAGCTTGCCATTCTTCCAAGGATAGATGGTGATCCCGTCGGGGCAGTTTGCTGGGTTGTGGGTATTGTTGGCTGCTAGTGATTGGGGCTCCCTCTCGGCTGGGCATCCAGCTGTAGCAAGGGCTCTCTTTATGATGTGGTTGACTTCACTGTGTCTTGCCTGCCAACCCTTGATTTTGGAACAGTTAAGGCCATGATGACCATATTGGTCGGCTTGTGCATTGCTGCAAATATAAGGCGAAGAGCCACTGTAATATGAAGGGTCTTAGGGTCGAGGCGCGTTCCCATTGCCGATATGGGAACTATTTGGAGGAAGTCCCAGGAGTGATGTGCATTCACAGCTTGGCAATCTCCCTGTCTGATGTTGCATCCCTGAGCACATTGGCAAGCACCTTTTCAGCGATGGGGCCATCCCAGCTTGACTGTTTGTAAGCCAGTGCTGCACTAGGGTTTGGTGCTATAGCAGCAAGAGTCTCCCATTCAGTGATGGCACTGGCATAGTTAGGGTCCTGTATTCCTGCTGAGTCACTGAGGTTGTTAGGAAGAATTTGTCTTATTAGCTCATTTGATGCTATGGAAGAGGATAGGAAAGCTGGTAGGGCAATCTGGGAAGATCTGTGTACTCCCAGCCCCCAAGCCTGACCGGAAGTGAGGCTTGCAACCACTGTCCATCTTCAAGGGAAAGATTCAATACACTCTCTAGCATGGTCTTAAGGAGAGAGTCATATTCTTTGAGTTTTTGACTGCTGAAGGCTGGGGAGCATCTCAGAAAGTAGGTAAGTTTTGGGATTGACAGGCACCTGGTGAGTAGGTAGAAAGCATCATGTATGTCCCAAAATCTTCAACTTGCCTTACCCTCATCGCAGAGGTCTGAGATTTTTTTCTAGGATCAGATCAATGGCATTGGACCCAAGAGGAACACCAAGGAGAGTGCTATTGGCTGGATCAATGGCTCATGCTCCTGGTAAAACAGCACTAATGTTCCGTATCGTCTGTCGATTGGTAGAAACTATTTCACATTTGGTGGGGTTTAAAGATAGGCCCAGGCTTCTCCCATGTCTTTAATTTTACTGATGTCCTCTAGGAGAGATTCTGTTGTGCCAGTTAGGGAACCATCATCCAAGAACCAGACATTGAGCTCACTGGAGAGTGCTGCTGTGACTCCCTTGATGACCAAACTGAATAGAAAGTGGGCAAGAGGGTCCCCCTGTTGCACATCCTCACATGAGTCAATTTCGTGGTCCCCAAACAATTGTTTAGAATTCACACTATAACAAGATTCTGTGAAGGGATAGAGGGAAGGGAAGTTTCTAGAAAATACTTGAAGAGCAGCATCCCTTCTGACTAAGTTGAAAGCTTTGACAAAGTCCAATTTGATCAAAGCTTTTTCATCGGACATGTTGCTAATGTATACTCGTGCTGCGTAGGCAGATGCTTCACAGCCTTGTTGAACAGTAAAACCGAGCTGAGTTAGTTTCAACATTGCAGCAGCCTCTTGACTAACCATTCTTATTGCAGCCTTGGCGACTAGGCGCCGAAGGGTGTTGCCCACTGCAATGGGCCTGATTCCTCCATCCTTTTTCCGGAGAGCACACATTGAGGCGCCAAAGAAAAGGGGTCTAATGGCCTCTGGGACACTGCCAGCCAGGCACTGCTTGGAAATTTGGTGAGTTCAGACAGCAACCTCTCTGATACATCACCAAGTGATGGATTGAGAATTTGTTTTAAGTGTTGAGGTCTTAAACCTGTGAAACCTCCTGCTGAGCCCTGTGGAAATGACATAGCAGCTTTATACACATCAGCATCCTGTAAGGTTAGATGTTCCTCGCCTGCTGCAATGTCGGGGAGGTCAGTGTTGATACTGGGAGCCCTGGGTGGATGCTTGTCCTTCAGAGCTTGCACCATACTGACGTCCTTGGGAGCGATGGTATCCTCACTGGTTATAAGCCTCAGTGCTCCGATAGTATTACCCTCTTCTATTTTTTTGCTAATTTGGGCTCTGATTTTTGAGGCGTTGGGTGTCCTGTTGTTGGCATTTGCCCGTTAGGTGTTTGTCGCCCTAGGAGGGAGACAGACGAGGTTTTCATCCCTAAGGAATGCATTTGTTGCCCTAATAACATATGTTGCTAGTGACTTGTCCCTCCTTGGTGGGACAGCCAAACAGGCATTGTCAAAAAGTAGCAGGTTGTGCCAGGATCTGTTGTTTGAAGGATTATCGTTGACTTTCTTCAGGAGGTCAGTGAATTTGATAGCAGCTTGAGGGCGAGCTGCTTTGGGGATGTGTGTCAGTGTCCTGGTGGATGTTAATTTGATTGCAGATTTGAGGTTCTCTGTGGAGGTGAAGTCACTGTAGATGTCAGCTCTGTCTGCTGGAAAGGGCTGTTGGTTGTTCCCATTTGGAGCTCTCCTGGAACCTAGACATCCATTGTGTGCACGGATGTTGCCAGTTGTGGGATTGAGTGCACATTCCCTGTGGCACACTTTGCAGATACCTCGTGAACGACGGCTTTGACTCTGTCATGAAGCTTCCTGGGAACCTGGCACTTCTTGTGACATTGCTGGCATCGTGGGGGTGGGAGGGCGCCAGCTGTGGGCTATCTGGTGAAGGACAGCATGGATACATGGGGGATGAGGGTGGGGGAGTAGCGAGCGGCAGAGCGAGTAATTGGTGGGGCATTAAACTGCAATACCCTTGGTCAGGAAGTCAGTGGGCCTAAGCTGGGATGAGGGGAGGGGACCGGGGATTGGGGGCAGAGGGAGTGGCCCTGTGTGTTCACTTAAGATGCACATCACTAACTTTTGCTAGTTGTTATACACTTATTATTCCATTTAGAAAAAAACCTTGCCATTTGGCACACTAATCACCATGCTCTCACTGTTAACCGAGGTGCTCTTCTGTTCAGCATCCAATGATGAATGCAATAAAATCACAGTAAACAGGTGATATCAGAAAATGTAAAACAACCACTATGAAAGAACAGTGAAATTCAAAGCGATTTTGTGATTTCTCACATTAGCTA